CACGGCTGAGCCCTTGGCTGCTGGGACTAAGCTGGGCACCTCCTTCCTGGCCTGTGTAACCTTGATGCACAACAGTCTTTTTCTCAGATGGCCACACTGAATGCCCCAAGCTCGTCAGTGGCCTTCGTCCTCTGAATGGTCATGGCCTGGCCCCATTGCCCTGTGGTGAGGGCTCACTGGACTCTCCCTGCTAATGTTGGGCATGCGGCAGGTTGCTGATGGCACATTGGGAGTGGTATGTGTTCATGTTGCCATCTCTGGAGGGCTGGGTGTCACCATCAGCACAGGACTCCCAAGGCCTTTCTAGCACCTTCCCTCATGTGTCTGCAAAATACATATGTGGGTTCAGCATTGTTTTCTTTTCTTGGTGCACAGTGCTTTCTTCTGCAGAGAGAGTGCTCCTCACCATAGATCCTCCTGAAAGTATTTTAGGTCCCCAGCTTCTGATACCAGACTCTGACCTTGTCTTCTGCCCAGGGGCATCTGTGGGCCTGGTCAGGGACTGGTTGCGGTAGTGAGGCGCCTAGAGGAAGGGAAGAGTGAATGGAGCCATGACAGTCAAACAAAGTGGGTTGCAGTGTCTGGGGCCCCATGTGACTTTGGGTTTCCTTTTGCTGTGTTCCTGCCTCCATTGTCAGAGGCCCTGCAGCTGGTCCTGGGGGTGAGCTGCCTGCAGGAGTTCCTCATTGCACCCTTTTCCCTGTAACCTCGGGGAGTTAGCCCATAGGTCGGCAGCCTGCGGGAGAGATGGCTCCTTTCCTCTTCCTCACTGAGGAAGGCTGGGCTGACTTCCACCGGAGAGACCGAGGAGCGGGACTGGGCAGAAGAAATGAGAGGAAGTGGCACAGTCCTGGCCAGAGTTGCAGGCTGTGAAGCACCAGTGGTGTGAGAGCTGGAAGCCCCACCAGCGGCAACCAGAACTGGGGTGGGGTGGGCTTGCAGGGGCTGGGGTGTCAGGCCCGGAGGGCGGGCTGAAGTGGCCCGTGCTGCCTCAGGCCACCCTGCCAGTGGACGGCACACATGCTAGCCCCCTCTGTGGCAAGGCCCTTCCCTTCCCCCTTTTATGTAAGACTGAGGGTCTCAGATGGCCAGGGCCAGTGAGGAAGGATATCTATGTCCAGAAAATCCTTGCACTGGGATGTTGGGGAGGGAGCTGTGAAAGGAAGGCGTACAGAGAGGAATCTGGTGTCTTAGTGGCATGTCTTGGGCATAAGGAACAAGAGCTCGGTCTTGAAGTCGGACACACTTAGGTTCAAGTCTTGGTTCTGCAACATAATTTAATGAGTGACCATTGGCAAGTTGCTTAGTACTTCTGAGCCTCATCTAGCACACCTGTGAAATGGAGTTTAAAAATAATGCTTTGGCTTCAAGCTGCTTTATAAGGCTGTTGTGGGGATTAAACACATGAAGCACTTAGGACCTGCCCAGTACAAGTATATTATCATCATCATCATTAACAACAACAGCAACTACTACGCATCCTGCTGCCTTATTGTGCTCTCTCCCCTCCACCCTCCAGGGTTCCCAGGCATCTTCCACACTTCTCTCCATCCCCCCAAATAATGACCTTTGTCTCTGAGGGTCCCAGGTCTGGGTGTCCATGCTCAGAACTCTTAGCCAGTCATCCAGTGGGGATGACAGGGAAGCGTCTGCCAAAACTTCTTGGGGAATTCAGCTTCCCCCAAAATTGGCCCCCTTGATTTCTTCTGAGATGCTGGCCCAGCTTTGGAAACCTACTCAGTAGCCCTCCTAGATGTGCAGGGTCAGTGGTGGGAGGCAGACGAGCTGAGCTTAGCCCATCTGGACCTGTCCAAATAGCTGCAGTGATCCAGCCTGGGGAAGGGGGTCAGGAGCAGCTCTGCACTGGATTCCACCCCCATCTCCCCCAGCCCAAAGTGCAGAGCCTGCCCTTTCCAAGGTGATGGGTGGCTACCCTGCGCCAGGTGTCTGGGTACCCTCCAACAGGCGCACACTTGCATGTGCACCGAGTCTCATCTGCCACGTGGGCTTTCCCTTCCCCCAGACTCCAAGCCTGTGCTGTGGCTCACAAGGCCACAGGATTGTGGTGGTGGTGGGGGGAGTGTTTGTGTATTGTCTGGGAGGGGAGGCATGAGTTCCAGTAAGCCTGTAAGCACCTGAGGGGCTCCCAGCCCCCTGGAGACACGTGGACCTTCCAGCCTCCCCTGGGCAACTTCCCCTCCCCTCC